TGATATTGTTGATGTTTCTTGAGTAAATTTTCTTTGATGGTCGTCGATGCGTAGAAACAATGGTTGGAATGTAATAACATTGAGAATCTTCGTTTTGAATAATTAAATCTTCCTTCGGTTGAGAAATTGCTCCAAAGTCAAATTGTGACGACAAGAAACCCATTTCAGGACCAGGGTTAGAAGCAACGTCACCAGCCAAAGTAAGACGAGCTTGGTTGAAGGTGGTAGTTGAGTTAGCGTAGTATTTGACTTTGGATGTGTTGTAACCTTTAGGTCGTAGACAAACAAAGCGAGGCCGATTAGTTGTTAAATAACGAGGTAGTAATACAGCAGAAATCCACTTGTTAGGATACAAACAATGATTCTTGCAAATATAATCCAAAGAGGAAATGTTTAGGCAATCCATATGTCGTTTTTCAATTGAAATAATATAAAGAACTGTGAAAAAAATAAAGAAAATCAAGCAGCGATATGAAGCACGTCCGTTACCCATAATTAACTAACAAAAAAATTGAATCCGTTGAATTCCCCAAGCATCACTTTCAATTTTCAAAACAAACTTTATTTCCAAAGCGAACAACAGTGTCGTCAGCATGCTATATACTCCCATAAAGCACGCTGCAATAAGCCAATCAGAATCCCTGTTAGAATGGTTCAAATAATCTGATTGGCTGCACAAGACTAAAGTTGTCAAAAGTGTCAAACCATCAAAGTTCACATTCTGCGATAGTTTACAAACTAAAATAGTTCGGCAGGTCGAATCTAACACTTTTGCCTGAAATTTTTGTCTGTAATACAGAATCTTGAAGTGAAATGTTCAGTAAACTTCAGCCGAAATATGGCTCATAAAAACACGCGAGTTTTTTCACATGACAAGGGAGAAAACAAACTGTTCAAGGCGAGTGTTTTTTGAATGAACGACAGCCGAATTCACCGGAACATGAAGATCGCTCTGGATGACAGCGCGGCAAAACTCGGCTGCAATGACAGATGTGACTTTCCACTCAATGCATCGGAAAGGATATCAGAGCAAGCTCTTATTTTTTCACTCGAAGGGTGGCCGATGTAGATTCTGAGGCTTGCTTTACTGTGATGACCAGAGATCGCCATGATGATCGAGCCGCGATGGACTTCAGCATGATCATATTTGCTCAGACACCATCATTATTAGAATGAATTTTAACAGTTATGCCAGTTGGGTTATATTTTTCATCATTTCCGTTTTGTTCTGTTTTGTTTTTGAACACTGAACTTTATATACTATATGAGTGTTTGCTGAGTTTGGTTTTTATTTCCGTACGTAAGCTTGCAGTTTAACTGAGCGTGAATTAATCTTTAAATCTCGGAATGTCTATTTTGTTTTCCTTTGAGGATTTTCGTATCTGCTCACGTTGTAATAACGTAAATTACGGCGCCTCGTATGTTTACAAACCTTTATTTGGTTCTTCTGTTGCTACTTGCCGGCTCGCTTGTTCCGAAATTTCACTTTCAATTATCGGAAAAAAGCTTAAAAGAAGTCCCGGAAAAGGTCGAACATAGTACAATTTGGCAGATGGCGTGACAGCTTTGGCTAAGCTCTATACTCTATACTCTCATAGAGCACGCTCTTTCAACCAAAGACAGCGCGCGTTATATCCAAACTTTATTATAAGGATAGATAAAAATAAAAGCTGGAAACGACCCCCACGTACATAGATACGTTTTAATATAGTTTTTAAAAACTCCCTACAGTCGAGAGCCTCCTTAAATTTGCAAAACTTAGGTTGAACCAAACGTTTTTCTCTTTTGATTTCTGTTTTCTTTTTCTCTTTAGTTTTTAATGTTTTGTCCACCAAAAGTGAACCTTTTTGCACGATGTAAGATTTTTTGAAAACTGCATTTATTATCTTTACACATTTATTTTTTCAAAAACATCGTGAGTTTTATGTTCCGCTATAACAGACGATTAATAAGTTTTAAGCCAGGCTTGCAACATAACATCAAAAATTATCCCTCTGAGGTCTCAGGGCTCTATCGTAATTAATAAACAAGAAGATATAACCAACTTCAGTTAATATCCTGAGACAATAGCACTTAGTCAAGCCAATATCTTCTTTCTTTACTGTTTTGTCTACATGCTGTGGTAAACGTAGAAGAGAAGCAATCATTTTATTTCACCGAAAGGAAAAGCTTACAATAAGCTCCTCATAATGGCGACACGCGCCTGATGTGAAAATCATTTAAACAGAGACTAACTTCAGTTAACGCAAAGTGACAGATGTTTAACTACTATGTTTTTTTTTTCCTATGAAAACGGAAAATTCTATTTTTCAATGAAAAACAACTTTTCGCAGCTATTGTTTTCAATGTTTTACGAAAAGAAAAAACACCTAGAACTAAAGCTCGACTTTTGAAAACAACTTTTATTCTCTTGCACTGGGTGTGAAGCTTTAAAAATGACTTAAAAACTTATTGATAGATAAAAAAATAACAGCTGGAAACGATCCCCACTTACATAGATACGTTTTGATATAGTTTTTAAAAACTCACTACAGTCGAAAGTCTCCTTAAATTTGCAAAACTTGGGTTGAACCAAATGTTTTTCTCTTTTGATTTCTGTTTTATTTTTCTCTTTAGTGTTTAATTTTTTGTCGCCCAAAGGTGGACCTTTTTGCACGATGTAAGATTTTTTGAAAACTACATTTATTATTTTTAGATATTTATTTTTTCAAAAACATCGTGAGTTTTATGTTCCGATATAACAAACGCTTGATGAGTTTTTAACCAAGCTGGCAGCATGACATCAAAAATTATCCCTCAGGGGTCTCAAAGCTCTATCGTAATAACAAACAAGAAGATATAACCAACTTCAGTTAATATCCCGAGACAATAGCACTGATTCTAGCCAATAACTCGTTTCTTTACTGTTTTGCAGGTAATTTAGTGTTAAAAACTGAGTTGAAAACGTAAATTAGCCACCGTAAAGGGTAAAAAAGCAGACGTTTCGAGTGTCAGCCCTTCGTCAGAGCGAAAGGATAATTTTGATGTCATGCTGTCAGCCTGGCTAGAAACTCATCAATCGCTCTAACGAAGGGCTAACGCTCGAAACGTCAGCTTTTTCACCCTTTACGGTGGCTAATTTACGCTTTTAACTCAGTTGTTAACACTAAATTACCTGCTATACTCTCCACCGACGCAACACCACAGTTTCTTTAGAAACTTACCCCTTTATTTCTTTACTGTTTTGTCTACATGCTGTGGTAAACGTGGAAGAGAAGTAATCATTTAAGTTCACCGAAAGGAAAAGCTTACAATAAGCTTCTCATAATGGCCACACGGATACCACGCTTCTCCTTTCCACCTGGCGCCTGATATGAAAATCATTTAAGCCGAGACTAACTTCAGTTAACGCAAAGTGGCAGGTGTTTAACGTCTATGTCTATTTTTTTCCTATGAAAACGGAAAATTCTATTTTTCAATGAAAAACAACTTTTCGCAGCTATTATTTTCAATGTTTTACGAAAAGCAAAAACACCTAGAACTAAAGCTCGACTTTTGAAAACAACTTTTATTCTCTTGCACTGGGTGTGAGGCTTTAAAAATGACTTTAAAACTTATTGATAGATAAAAACAACAGCTGGAAACGACTCCCACGTACATAGATACGTTTTGATATAGTTCTAGAAACTTCCTACAGTCGAGAGTCTCCTTAAATTTGCAAAACTTAGGTTGAACCAAATGTTTTCTCTTTTGATTTTATGTTTTCTTTTTCTCTTTAGTTTTTAATTTTTTGCCGCCCAAAGGTGAACCTTTTTACACGATGTACGATTTTTTGAAAACTACATTAAATTATTTTTATATATTTATTTTTTCAAAAACATCGTGAGTTTTATGTTCCGATATAACAAACGATTGATGAGTTTTTAGCCAGGCTGGCAGCATGACACCAAAAATTATCCCTCAGGGGTCTCAGAGCTCTATCGTAATAATAAACAAGAAGATATAACCAACTTCAGTTAATATCCCGAGACAATAGCACGGATTCTAGCCAATAACTCGTTTCTTTACCACAGGAATGAATTAAGGACAGGGGCTAATTAGTTATTATCTATAATTATCTGTAAACAACCTTTCAGCTTCAATTAGTTGTTGACAACCTGCTCTAAATAAAAGTGCTTCACACCTCAAGAGAAGACCAGTCGGAGTCTGTCTCGGAAACAACGAATACTTTCACCCAGGTATGTGTATAACTGTTCCGTAGTTTACTATATAATCTGTTTTTCAAGTTAAAATTGAGGCACGTCCGAAAAAGGTAAGCTATAACCCGTGTCTCCTCAATTGCAGATCTCTTTTTTCCTGAAAAGGGTTAATAAGCCCTAAAAAATTAAAGGAAACCACAGAGACTAAAGTTCTCAACGGACGTTACAATGTACAATTGTGAACGATCTTTTCTTGTGTACAAAGCCCACATTTCTATAAAGGTAGCATTTTCTCTTCGCCGAATTTTTAAAAGACGATTTTGAATAGATTACGTAACAGGTGAGTCTGCCGAATTTTTAAAAGACGATTTTGAATAGATTACGTAACAGGTGAGTCTGCCGAATTTTTAAAAGACGATTTTGAATAGATTACGTAACAGGTGAGTCTCCTAATTTCAAGAAATATTTTAGACTACAAATTGTGCTCAGCTTATGGGCTTCAGCAGTTTTGTTGTCATAGAAAAAAATATACTCGTGCTTATTTACAGCAAATTGCACTCACAATCTTGTTATTACCTATGTGCTTAGAGTCTTTTACAAGCTGTCAAAAGTAACCGACGTTTTCGCGCAGTTTCTCATTTTTTCCCCGCAAACTGATCAGAAAAGACAAGAAATCAAAAAGAGAGGGAGGAAAGGCAGATTTTAAAGCGACAATAATAACCTATTAAGGAATTTTTTCCCAAATTTGTCTTTAACTCAAACATTACCAATAAACGATGTTCATCTTGTATTTGCAGGTGTCATAACTCTGATCTGCTTCTCATGTCTGGTCGACAAGCTTCATTTTTTACCGCGCTATTTTTCATTTCTCAACTGTCCAGTGGCAATGGAAGTCAGCAGTGTGGAGCCGGCGGCGACCTGTACTCCATTTACCAAATGATGCTCCAGGGCCACACTTACAAGTCGTTTAAGACTGCACCGGGTACTCCGGAATGCAGAGAGGCTTGTCTTGCTGATGTCAAATGTCAAAGCTACAACGTCGTTATGTTCATTGCAATATGCGAGTTAAACAACCGAACTAAAGAGGCCAGACCAGAGGATTTTGTCACGAACAAGGACAGATACTACATGGCCAAAGGTCCAAAACGAGGTGATAGAACATGCAAAGATTAAAAAGCAAAATTGCAGTAAAGATGGGGGATGAGGGGAAGGGGGAGGGGAAGGGGGGGAGCATTCAACTGATCTGCGAGCGTGACTTTTAATGTACCCAATATGACGCTGGGCATCGTCTGACGCATATTTTTTGCAGAAGTGTCTATAGACTGCTAATTATAGAGTAAGTCCTAAACATTCCACGCAAAGTATATCTTAAGGGTAATAGAAACAAACTATATGGGTAATCTGACTTTCGTGGATTTTACGCTGTCAGCAGTGAATCTTTCTTACTCTTATTCTGCTAACATTAATCACTTTCATTGCAGTTCCCCTCGGATCAATTCGTGAGTTGCCCGCGGAATCGTGCAAGGAGATCAAGGCGAGTAAAGGCGGAAGGGTGGTCAGCGGTAAAATTTATTGGATGGATTCAACACGATCTGGTAACTCCATTTTAGCTCGCTGTGACATGAAGACTGAAGGTTGGTACAAGACATAGCTCTTAGCATTTTGTTGCCATGCCAATAAGAGGACTTTTCTTAATCAATTTTCTTTGTCCCTAGTTGCAGACTATTGTGTCAAACACCAGTGCCAAAACGATGCAAAGTGTGTGAACCGTGAGACGAACTATACGTGTGCGTGTAACTCATCTGGCTGGACAGGAAAATATTGTGAAATAGGTTCGCCTTTTGTTAAAATCATCTCCCATTTTTAGGAGCATGTTAAACAAATAAGATGAGGGATGCTTAATTAAGATATGTTTATCCACAGATGTCAACGAATGCGTGGAAGGTCTTCATGGTTGTGATCCCAACGCCATTTGTGATAATACTGTGGGTTCCTACAACTGCACATGTAGACCAGGATTAATTGGAGACGGAAGAAACAGCTGCATCAGTACAAGTAAGGATGTAAACCACTTTGTGTGGAGACGTTGTTGGAGGGATAAGCTAGAAATTACTGCGTACTATTGTACATTTTGACTACTACAATAGTTGATTATTTCTTTTTTTTTGTTTTTATTGTTCCACAAATCGCGCAAGAATTATGCACTTTTGAACAACAATCATCATTTTATTGCTCGTGACTGATATTGTCACACATACTTACCTAAAAACCAATCAGGATGCGTTTCGTTTCTGGTCAAGGAATTCTAGAATTAAAAGAAACTCAAGGAAAAAGAACAGTTGGGAAATGGCGACTACCTTCCCTTATCATGTGCATGTATAGTCCGAAAGAATATTTCTCTACAAACGAATAGCAGCATCTTAACAATTATTACTAATCAGTTAACTCACATTGGTGGGAAGATTATGCTTTTCATTTAGGAAAAAACCGCATCTCCTTCTTTAGGTCATTCTTGTGAGGAAATTCGGAACGCAAGTTCCCATCTTAAAGACGGGGAGTACTGGATCGCTCTTAAGAAGAACGGAAGCCTTTTAAAGGTTTACTGTGATATGACAACCGATGGAGGTAGTGAATGGATGTTTAAGAAAAACTAATAACGATAACAGTGGTTTTTTTTTTTACTTCTGTACAAACTGTCCTTCTATAATTAATGGAATGCAATATTATTTTGCAAAATAAAGAATTTCAGTTCATTTCATTTCTTTTTTCCAGGAGGTTGGCTTCTGGTTTCCAACGTTGTCGTCGGCAACCTATCTTTGCTACAGTTTTCAGAGGAATCATCATACCATGAAATAAGTAAATGTCACAACAAGTCCTTGTTACTCACGACAGATGCCATGAAGGAACTGAGAACACACTTGTCTTTCACTCAGTTGAGATTCCACTGCAGCAAAAACAAGGGACGTACTCTCCATTTGACTACGGCTGGTAACAGCAGTGGTGAAGCAGTAGTACAATACTTCAGTGGTCAGACAGATGCCAATCCGAAAGCGTGTGGCTCGTTTGTGAGGATGAATGATGACAACTCGAAGTTAGCAGCTGATTGTAATCAATGGGGCAATAAAGAGTGGGGATACCCTTTTAAAGGAAAAAAGAGAAATCTATTCGTTGCTCGTGTCCACGGGAAATATCGCTGGTTTTTAAAAGGGAGCTCAAGATGGGAATGTGACGACTTAATCAACAATGATACAGAACATTTTGGATTGTCCACAGGTGACTTCTGGAGGGTTTTTGTTCGTTAAGGCCAAATACAATAAGTAACTAAACAGTTCTCACTGTCTTGAAAAACATTCAACGGCTGACCTAGATCAGTGTCACGTTTTGTCGTTTTTTATCCTTTTGTTGCTAAAGCAACCCTCCACTGTTAAAATAAACTGTCATTAGAACTATCGGGAAAAAACTATGCGCAATTTTTGGCATGTTGAAATGATGATACTTGAACCCCGATGCAACCGTAGTTTAGTCATATTTATAGTTAGTTAAATAATTATTATCTGTAAAACTCATTTTGGAAACGGTGAAAGGACTGAGTGGAGTCCAATTCGGTCTGTAGTCATAAGAGTGAGTAGCTAAGTTAAGAAGGAAAGAAAAATTTACATTAAAAGACTGAAAAAGGAGGCGTAAATTGTTCAGCTGTTTGATATAATTGATTGATTTAAACTACAACTTTGAATGTGATTGGCTCATTGAACTGTCTGATAACAGTGCTTTGACGAAGGGCTAACGCTCGAGACGTCAGCTTTTAAACTCTTTAAGGTGTCAAATTTACGTCATCAACTCAATTGATAATACTCAATAACCCTGTCCGATAATAACTTGGCACGTAAGTTAATGGAAAATAGGTTTTTTTAACTTGTTACAATCGAGGAAACTACGATTAATTCCGTTATTGGCTTGTCATTCTTGAGAAGCGAAAGTCGTTTTAATTGCGACACAAAAGCGAGATGATAAGGTTATGATTTCTCATGAACGAATTCCAATTTATAATTTATTAATGGTAGTAATTTTTTTTACTGGAGTCAAGTTAATGTGCAAAGTATTCCTTGACGCTCAGAAATATCTTGTTGTAATATTTTCGAAAGTTGCTTGTCATTCTCAGTGATGCCACAACTGATTTATTAATGAAATCTGATGTAATCATAAGTAGTGTTCTAGACTGTTAGTTCTTGCTGGTGTCAAGCTATTGCTCTTATTATCTCTCGGTAAGCGATCAATAAAAATTCATGTTTTATACAAAACGTGAATACTACAGTCTAAGTGTCAAGTCCTTGCTGATGATAAAGCAAGTTCACTTTCTTTCATTTTGTATCTTTTTTTTGTGCGAATATATCATGAGATCCCCCTGCATTGCATACTATATCATCTTACGCAGGGTGATCATAACAATATATGTTGCAATCACGCCATCACCGTAAACACCAAAACCATTTTATTACATTAAAAATTTCAGACAATACTCTACCTGTTCTATTATCACTAAGTACTCCTAATAAGTATCTTCTTTAGGAACAAATCGTGGAAAATTCAGTACGAGGCGAGAAAGGATTTATTACCAATAAAATATCCATCCCAGGAACTCTTCCTTTTGTAACAATTAGTAACAATTAATGACTTAACTAGAATATGTCATCGAAAAACGATGGATAAATATGGCAAAATTAGAATGACCACCGTGAAATTAAAAAATGAATTAATTATAACCTTGAAAAATATATCGAACATCATGGATTTTATCTTAAAATAGTTTTGTGATATCCATGTGAAACTAATTTATTCATGAAGCTATGCTGTCAAAAATGGACTGAATTCGTTCACTCCAAATGGCAGGTGTTAAAATGCCCGAGATTTTTTCTTCTGTAAAATAGTTAAGTCTTTATATTCTATCACCTCAGATGTTTTCCGAAAGTTACTCTTGTAGCAAATCAAACAAAAAGAAATGAAATTCAACCTATTTCAAGAAGTTTTAATCCATTCGCCTAAAATAACATTGAAATGATGAATCATTAGTGTGAATAATTTGAGAGATTTCCAACATAACATTCACCGACTCTGCCGTTGCAATTAGAATGACTTTCGAAAACATCTTTTGTCCTCCAGAAGGTGCTGAGCACGCGAGTATAAAATAGAACGACAAGACTACATTTATTTTGGATGTACTCCTTGTGGCTTAAATAGTTACGTTTCTACTGAAAACAGTCCTTGATGGATCGATGCTACTTGACAAAGGAAGAAATATTGAATTGGCCACCTGAAAACATCGTGAGTTTTATGTTCCGATATAACAAACGATTGAAGAGTTTTTAGCCAGGCTGAGAGCATGACATCAAAAATTATCCCTTAGTGGTCTCAGAGTTCTATCGTAATTAATAAACAAGAAGATATAACCAGCTTCAGTTAATATCCTGAGATAACAGCACTGAGTCAAGCCAATACCTTCCTTCTTTACTATTTTGTCGACCTGCTATGGTAAACGTAGAAGGGAAGTAATCATTTTATTTCACCGAAAAGAAAAGCTTACAATAAGCTTCTCATAATGGCGATACGGACACCACGTTTCTCCTTTCCACCTGACGCATAATGTGAAAATGCGAGAGCTAGTTTTCCACGTATGTGGATCTAAATTTGAAGTTGGATTCCGCTTGCTGGCAACCTTACCAAGTTTATCAAAATTAAACAAAACGGCATCTATATTAAAAAAAAAAAAAAGCAAAAAAATTCAACCGTCTCCCATAGATTCCCTCTGAGCCAACAAAGATCCCCCCTGTAAGGAAGACTAACGATGGCTATTTATCTACTAAGAGTTTGTCCCTGGTGTGACATAATTCCCTCATAAACATCAATTCAGCTCCAGTTGGCCATAAAACACAACAACGTTCAGAAGGAGTAAACTTTAATTGTCTACCATAGCAACCCACTGATTTAACAAAGATGCACCACTGTTAATGAATTAAGGATAGCGGCTAATTAGCTATTATTTATAATTATGTTTAAACAACCTACTATCAGACGTTGGGGAAAAACTATACGTAATTTTTGGCATGTTGAAGTGATGATACTTGAACCCCGATGCAACCGTAGTTTAGTCATAATTATAGTAAGTTAAATAATTAATATCTGTAATAATTATTTTGGAAACGGTGAAAGGACTGGGTGGAGTCCAAGTCGGTCTGTAATCATAAGAATGAGTAGCTAAGGCCTAGTTCAAACGTCGATCTTTACATGTACCGAACCAAACGTTTCTATTAAGTACATGTAAAGATCGACGTTTGAATCAATTAGGATCGGCAGATTTGTATTCGGATCGACAGTGCCGTTCTATCCGACTCGGCTAGTCGGATAGAACGGTAAAAGATCGGCATTGATTCATACGTCGTACTTTACATGTACCGAACTTAATGCATACATTATACATACGTTAAAATAATCATGTTTTACCCACAATTCAAGAAAGTTCGCTTACGTGCCATGCGCGAAAGCCTTCGAACCATTCAAACAATATGGCGGGAAAGGAGGAAGGCTCGTGCTCCTCTTGTTTTAAAACCAAACATTTTCCCACCAGCCAGAATTTCTTTTCAGTCGACGACACGAACGAACTGGACGAGGAACTGTGATGTTCCTCTGGGAAATAAGCAATAATAGAAGGCAAGCCAAATTCAAAACTCGTCTTCTCCTGGCAGCAAGGTTGTTTAATGCTAACTGCATCTTGAGTCGCCTTTTTCTACCCTCCTTAATCGCATTTGCAAGAAAAACAAGCTCTTCATTTCCACAAGTTGTGCTTCCCGCATTTTTTTTCCGCCATTTTGGTAGGCATTAACCGCTGACTACAATGGAGTTATGTTCAGTTTTGCAATTAGGATCGACTAAATTCGGATCGACGTTTGAATGAACTGCCGCTCTTAATTATTCGAGTCGACCCAAATTGCAATTAGGTTCGGTACAAGTAAAGATCGACGTTTGAACTAGGCCTAAGTTATGAAAGAAAGAGAAATTTGCATCAGCAGACTGACAAAGGAGGCGTAAATTGTTCAACTGTTTAATATAATTGATTGATTTAAACTACAACTTTGAATGTGATTGGCTTATTGAACTGTCTGATAACAGTGATTTGACGAAGGGCTAACGCTCGAAACGTCAGCTTTTAAACTCTTTACGGTGTCAAATTCACGTTATCAACTCAATTGATAATACTCAATAACCCTGTCCGATAACAACTTAGCACGTCAGTTGGTAGAAAATAGGTTTTTTTCTAACTTGTCACAATCGAGGAAATTACGATTAATTCTGTTATTGGCTTGTTTAACAGCTTCTAGAGAAGCGAAAGTCGTTTTAATTGCGACACAGAAGCGAGATGATAAGGTTATGATTTCTCCTGCGCGAAATCCAAAACAGAATTTATTAATGGTAGTAAATTTTTACGGGAGTCAAGTTAACGTGCAAAATATTCCTTGACCCTCAGAAATATCTTGCTGCAATATTTTCGAAAGTTGCTTGTCATTCTCAGTGATGCCACAACTGATTTATTAATGATACTTGATGTAATCATACGTAGTGTTCTAGTCCGTTAGTTCTAGCTCGTGTCAAGCTAGTGCTCCTATTATCTCTCGATAAGCGATCAATAAAAATTCATGTTTTATACAAAACGTGAATACTACAGTCTAAGTGTCAAGTCCTTGTTGATGATAAAGCAAATTCACTTTCTTTCATTTTGTATCTTTTTTGTGCGAATATATCATGAAATCCCCCTGCATTGCTCACTATATCATCTTGCGCAGGGTGATCATAACAATACATGTTGCAATCACGCCATCACCGTAATCACCAAAACCATTTTATTAGATGAAAAATTTTAGACAATACTCTACCTGTTCTATTATCACTAAGTACTCCTAATAAGTATCTTCTTTGGGAACAAATCGTGGAAAATTCAGTACAAGGCGAGAAGGGATTTATTACCAATAAAATATCCATCTCAGGAACTCTTCCTTTGTAACAATTAATGACTTAACTGGAATATATCATCGAACGACGATGGATAAATATGGTAAGATTAGAATGACCACCGTGAAATTAAAAAATGAATTAATTCTAATGTCGAAAAATATATCGAACATCATGGATTTTATCTTAAAACAGTTTTTGTGCGTGAATCTAATTTATTCATGAGGCTATGCTGTCAAAAAGGGACTGAATTCGTTCACTCCAAATGGTAGGTGTTAAAATGCCTGAGATTTTTTTTTATATAAAATGGTAAGGTTTTTTTTTTTTATTCTATCGCCTCATATGTTTTCCGAAAGTTACTCTTGTAGCAAAGCAATCAGAAAGAAATGAAATTCGACCTATTTCAAAAGTTTTATTCCATTCGTCCAAAATAACATTGAAATGATGAATCATTTATGAGAATAATTCGAGAGATTTCCAACACAACATTCGCCGACACCGCCGCTGCAATTAGAATGACTTTCAAAAACATCTTTTGTCCTTCAGAAGGCGCAAGGCACGCGAGTAGAAAACAGAACAACAAGATTACAACATGAGCTACATCGGTCTCTAAGTGTTACCATAGAAACACACCCAAACTTAAGATAGTCTCGATTGCAATAGCTCTCGCCTCGTATTCGTATTACAGCATTTATTTTGGATGTACTCCTTGTGACTCAAATAGTTACGTTTCTACTGAAAATACTCCTTGATGGATCAATGCTATTTTTAAAAGAAAGAAATATTGAATTGGCTACCTGAATATCGGAAAATAAAGGTTTATCACCGAAGTGTTCGTGTTCAAATTGTTCTCAAAAGACTGCGGAAGTTTAACGTTACTAAATTATTCATAAACATCAATTCAGCTCCAGTTGGCCATAAAACACAACAGCGTCCAGTAGGAGAAAAACTTAACTGTCCACCATAGCATCCCGCTGATCTAACAAAGCACCACTGTAAGGAATTAAGGATAGTGGCTAATTATCTGCACGAGTTTGTTCATGATGCAATATAATTTACCCTAAACATCATTTTAGCTCCAATTGGCCATAAAACTATAACAAAGTATAGTTTGAGAATAATAATAATAAGTGTTTCCGATAGAATCCCGCTGATCCAACAAAGAGGTACTACTTTAAGGAAGTACAATGACACATAATTTGTTATGAGGTCGTCTTTGGTGTAACATTATTCCCTCTAAACAACCTTTCAGCTTCAGTTGGCAGTTGGCCCTGCTCTGAACAAAAGTGCTTCACACCTCAGGAGAAGACCGATGGGAGTTTGTTTAAGAAACAACGAGTAGTTTTAACCAGGTATGTGTATCACTGCTCCGCAGTTTATTGCACAATCTCCTTTACAAATTAAAATTGAAGTGTCTGAAAAAGTTAAGTGAAAACCCGTGCCCCCTCAATTGTAGTTCTCTATTTCCCAATAAAAAGGTTAAGGAGCACTAAAATATAAGGTAACCACAGATACCAAAGTTTTTAATGGATGTTAATTGCACTCGCCTCATGGGCCTCAGCAGTTTTTTTGTAATAGGAAAAAATATACTCGTGCTTATTTACAGCAAATTGCACTCGCAATAATGTTATTACCTATACTTAAAGTCTTTTACAAGCTGTAAAAAGTAACTAACGTTTTCACGCAGTTTCTCAATTTTTCCCGCAAACTGATCAGAAAAGATTAAGACTTCAAAAGGAGAGGGAGGAAAGGCAGATTTTAAATCGACAAAATTTCGTTTTTCTTCAATAACCTATTAAGGAATTTTTCTCAAAATTGTCTTTAACTCAAACATTACCAATAAACGATGTTCATCTTGTTTTCGCAGGTGTCATAGATTTGATATGCTTCTCATGGCTTGTCGACAAGCTTCATTTTTTATCGTGCTGTTTTTCATTTCTCAACTGTCCCGTGACGATGCCAGTCAGCAGTGTGGAGCCGGCGGCGACCTATACTCCTTTTACCAAATGATGCTCAAGGGCCACACTTACAAGTCGTTCAAGACTGCAACGGGTACTCCGGAATGCAGAGAGGTCAAAGTTACAACGTGGTTATGTTCATTGCAATTAATATGCGAGTTAAACAACCGAACTAAAGAGGCCAGACCAGAGGACTTTGTCACGAACAAGGACAGATACTACATGTCGAAAGGTCCAAAACGAGGTGATAGAAAATGCAAAGATTAAAAAGCATTATTACAGCAGTTAAGGAAGGGGGGGAGGGACGAGGAGAGGGGAGGGGGGAAGGGAAGGGGAGAGGGGAAAAGGGGATGGGGGGGGGGGGGAGAGGGGGATGGGGGGAAGGGGGAAAGAGGGGAAGGGGAGATGGGGGGAAGGAGGGGAAGGGAGGTAAGGGGGGACGGCGGGCGACATTCAACTGATAGCTCGATATGCGAGCGCAACTTGAAATGTACCCAATATGATGCTCGGCATTGTCTGACACATATCTTTACAGAAGTATCAATAGACTGCCAATTATAAAGTAAGTCATATAAACATTCCACACACAATTCATCTTAAAGGAGATGTCAAGAAACAATATGGGTAAGCTGACTTTTGTGGATTTTACGCTGTCAGCAATGAATCTTTCTTAATCTTATTCTGCTAACATTAATCGCTTCAACTGCAGTTCCCCTCGGATCAATTCGTGAGTTGCCCGCGGAATCGTGCAACGAAATCAAGGCGAGTGAAGGAGGGAAGGCGGTCAGCGGCAATAATTATTGGATCGATTCAACCAGATCTGGTAACTCTATTTTAGCTGGCTGTGACATGAAGACTGAAGGTTTGTACAAGACATGGTTCTTAGCATTTTGGTACCGTGCCAATGAGAGGACTTTACTTAATCGATTTTCTTTGTCCCTAGTTGCAGACTATTGTGTCAAACACCAGTGCCAAAACAATGCAAAGTGTGTGAAACGTGAAACGAACTACACGTGTGCGTGTAACTCACCTGGTTGGACAGGAAAATATTGTGAAAAAGGTTTGCCTTTTGTTAAAATCGTTTCCCATTTTTAGGAGCATGTTAAACAAAGAAGATAAGGAATGCTTAATTAAGGATATGCTTATCCACAGATGTCGACGAATGTGTGGAAGGTCTACATGGTTGTGATCCCAACGCCATTTGTGATAACACTGTGGGTTCTTACAACTGCACATGCAGACCAGGATTAATTGGAGACGGAAGAAACAGCTGCATAAGTACAAGTAAGGATGTAAACCACTTTGTGTGGAGACGTTGTTAGAGGGATAAGCTAAAAGTTACTGCCTACGATTGTACATTTTGACTACTTCACTAGTTGAGTATTCCTTTTTTTTATTGTTCCACAAATCGCGCAAGAGTTATGCCCTTTTGAACAACAATCATCATTTTATCGCTTGTGACTGATATTGTCACACATACTTACCTAAAACTAATAAGGATGCGTTTTGTTTCTGGTCAAGCAATTTTAGAATTAAAAGAAACTCAAGGAAAAACAACAAGTGTGAAATGGCGACTGCCTTCCCTTATCAACTCACATTCGTGGGAAGATTATGCCTTTCATTTCAGAAAAAAACCGCATTTCTTCCACCAGGTCATTCTTGTAAGGAAATTCGGAACACAAGTTCCCATCTTAAAGACGGAGAGTACTGGATCGCTCTTAAGAAGAACGGAAGCCTTTTAAAGGTCTACTGTGATATGACAACCGATGGAGGTAAGGAATGGATGTTTAAGAAAAACTAATAACGATAACGGTGGTTTTGTTTTACTTCTGTACAAACTGTCCTTCTATAATAAATGGAATGCAATATTACTTTGCAAAATAAAGAATTTCATTTTATTTCATTTCTTTTTTCCAGGAGGTTGGCTTCTGGTCTCCAACGTTGTCGTCGGCAACCCATCCTCGCTACAGTATTCATTTGAGTCATCATACCGTGAAATAAGCAATTGTCATAACAAGTCGTTGTTACTCACGATAGATGCCATGAAGGAACTGAGAAGACACTTGTCTTTCACTCAGTTGAGATTCCACTGCAGCAAAAACAAGGGACGCACTCTCCATTTGACCACGGCTGCTAACAGCAGTGGTGAAGCAGTAGTACAATACTTCAGTGGTCAGACAGATGCCAATCCGAAAGCATGTGGCTCGTTTGTGAGAATGAAGGATGACAACTCGAAGTTAGCTGTTGATTGTAATCAATGGTGGAATAAAGTGTGGGGATACTCTTATTTTGGAAAAAACAGATATCGAATCGTTGCTTATGTCCCTGGGAAATATCACTGGCGCATTTTTAAAGGGAGCTCAAGATGGGAATGTGACGACTTCCATATCAATGGTGCAGAATATTTTGATTTATCCACAGGTGACTTCTGGAGGGTTTTTGTTCGTTAAGGCCAAATACAACTAGTAACTAAACATTTCTCACTGTCTTGAAAAAAACTCAACGGCTGACCATGATCAATGTCACGTTTTGTCGTTTTTTATCCTTTTGTTGCTAAAGCAAGCCTACGCTGTTGAAATAAACTGTTATTAGAACTATCGGGATAAAAACCTTTTGGTATGAAAAGGCATGTTGAAATGATGATACTTGAACCCTGATGCAACCATAGTTTAGTTATAATTATAATTAGTTAAAATAATAACTATCTGTAATAATTATTTTGGAAATGGTGAAAGGACCGAGTAGGGTCCAATTCGGTCTTTAATCATCGGATTGACTGGCCAAGTTATGAAAAAAAGGGGAAATTTGCATCAAAAGAGTGACAAAGGAGGCGTAAATTGTTCAACTGTTTGATTAATTGATTGATTTTAACACAAATTTGATTGTGATTGGCTTATTGAACTGTCTGATAACAGTGCTCTGACGAAGGGCTAACGCTCGAAACGTCAGCTTTTAATTCTTTACGGTGGCAAATTTACGTTATCAACTCAATTGATAATACTCAATAACCATGTCCGATAACAACTTGGCACGTCAGTTAGTGGAAAAAAGGTTTTTTTAACTAATCACAATCAAGGAAATTATGATTAATTTTGTTGCTGGCTTGTTTAACGGCTTCTTGAGGAGCGAAAGTCGTTCAATTGCGACGCAGAAGCGAGATGATAAGGCTATGATTTCCCCTGAAAGAAACCCATGTATAATGTATTAATGGTAGTAATTTTTTACGGGGTTCAAGTTAACATGCAAAATATTCCTTTTCCCTCAGAAATATCTTGTTGTAATATTTTCGAAAGTTGCTTGTCATTCTAGTTCTCAGTCATGCCGCAACTGATTTATTAATGACATCTGATGTAATCATACGTATTTTTCTAGGCTGTTAGTTCTAGTTCGTGTCAAGCTAGTGCTTTTATTATGTTTTATACAAAACGTGAATACTACAGTCTGAGTGTCAAGTCCCGACTGATGATAAAGCGACATCACTTTCTTTCATTTTGTTTATTTTTTGTGCGAACATTTCACAAGATCCCCCTGCGCTGCCCACTATATCATCTTGCGCAGGGTGATCATAACAATATATGTTCCAATCACGCCAACCTCTTAATGACCAAACCATTTTATTAGTTTGAGAATTTCAGACAATACTCTACCTCCTCCATTATCACTAAATACTCCTAATAAGTATCTTCTTATTAACTTCAGTACAAGGTGATAGCGGATTTATCACTGATAAATATCCATCTCCGAAACTCTTCCTTTTGAAACAATTGATGAGTCATACAATAGTGTAATTTGATCGTTCGAGTGAGCGTAGTCCTGAGAAGGACTGTTGTCGGTAGTGGTGACTGACGTTTCGACAACCTGAGCGGAAGTCATCTTCGGAGTCAAGTGAATAGTTGTTGTCAGTCGAATAGTGGAAGGTTTACATTTATTGTATTCGCCTTCTCTCATTTTGTTTATTTTTGTGCGAACATATCATAGGATCCCCCTGCATTGCACGCTATATCATCTTGCGCAGGGTGGTCATAACAATAAATGTTGCAATCACGCCAACCCCTTAATGACCAGAACCATTTTATTAGTTTGAAAATATCAGACAACACTATTATCACCAAATACTACTAATAAGTATCGTCTTTGGGAAAAAAAATTATTTAAACTTCGGTACAACGCGACAAAGGATTTATCGCTGGTAAATATCCATCTCCGGAACTCTTCCTTTGTAACAATTGATGAGTTCACCAAGCAGGTGTTAAAATGCCCGAGATTTTATTTATGTAAATTTGTAAAGTTTTCATATTCTATCGCCTCAGATGTTTTCCGATAGTTACTCTTGTGGCAAAACCAACAGAAAGAAATGAAACTCGACCCATTTCAAAATTTTGTTTTTCTATTCGATCTAAAATGACATTGAAATGATGAATCATGAATGAAAATAATTTGAGAGATTTTGAAAACAACATTCGCCGACCTTGCCGTTGCAATTAGAATGACTTTTGAAAACATCTTTTGTCCTCTAGAAGGCGCTAAGCACGCGAGTATAAAATAGAACGCCAAGATTACAACGTAAGCTGCATCGGTCTGTAAGTGTCACCATAGCAACACACCCAAACCTAAGATAGTCTCAATTGCGATAGCTCTGGCCTTGTATTCGTATAACAGCCTTTATTTTGAATGTACTCCTTGTGAGTCAAATAGTTACGTTTCTACTGAAAACACTCCTTGATGGATCGATGCTACTTGAAAAAGAAAGAAATATTGAATTGGCCATCTGAACATCGGAAAATAAAGATTGATCTCCGAGATGTTTGTGTTCAAATTGTTCTATAAGAAGACTGCGGAAGCCATTCAACTGATAGTTCGATCTGCGAGCGTAACTTTAAATGTACCCAATATGACGCTGGGAATCGTCTATCGCATTTTTTTAAGTGTCTATAGACTGCTAACTATAGAGTAAGTCCTAAACATTCCAAGCAAAGTAAATCTTAACTCTTTCCTATTCTTATCCACTAGTTTAAGGAAGAATACAATGTTTTATTACCAAAATTTGATGCATGGCTGTGCACAAAACTTAAAATTGACTGCACATCTATGGCCAATATAATACCAAGTCCTACATAATAAATTGTGAACAGGGCCAGGAGAAAAATTAATGTACAATAAATCTGCACAATTCACGTAATTATGAAAAGTTTTCAAAAGACCTGTTGATAACTGATACTAGGAGATCTAATAATATTCAAAAGAATCTAAAATTTGGTAGAAAAATTAGAATTCAGTGCAGGCCAATTTCACAACATTCTGAGAAAAAATGTTCTAATGAAAGAGGCTTAACAAAATTTTGCAGCATAACAGCTTTTCACAGCAACCATATGTATCTGCACAAAAATAGTAAAATCGTTCCACGTAGTCACAATCCTGGCTTCAATGCAGATTTCCTATAATCCTGTAGTTTAAGCCTACCATGACTTCAGAACTTTGATACACACCTTAAAATGAGAATAACAAATAATTTTCAAGTTTCAAACTTTCTTGTGACGACACCATCAATACATGTTTACAACTTATTTAGAGATGTGGGCCTAACTAAAATGAAAAACTTCACATATTCATTAAATCAGGTTTACCCCCCATATCTGTTCTCTTTTAGACACTGTCTTTGTTCCTCCCACTGCCGAAACCAAAATTCTACGCCCCGGATTTACAAAAACTACCATCAAGAACGTTTATCTTATGCCATTTAAAGTTACAAACGAAGTTAAAATAATAATGTTTCAGTATAAAGTGATTCATAACGTGCTTCCAACTCGCGCCACTCTTTACCGAGACGGCATTTCAGAGACCCCCTTATGCAACCTATGCAATACAGAAAAACAAACGTTGCATCACCTATTAATAAACTGCACACTAATACTCGACTTCTGGATTCTGTTTCAAGACTGGTGGCACCAAAAAACAAATGAAACAATAAGGTTATCCTCAAGTCATATACTCTATGGCTGGTATTATAGGACAAAGCATTGGCAATTCCTAAATTATTGCCTATTGTTAGCCAAATATCACATTTTCTGCACAAGCCTTTGCGGAGACATCTTAGATTTTCAAATCTTCCTACTGTTCATCACGGGAAAACTTGAAATCCTAAAAGAGATCGCGACCGCAAAAAAAAAACTTCCGAAATTTTATCGCACTGGGGCTTTTTTACTTTAATTTTTCATGCTGCTGTTGTTTTTAGGTTAGACTTATACTTAATTTCATAAATATTTGTTTAAGCTATATCAAAAGTAAATATCCAAAGAAATGTAGCATTTTTTGAGACCTGTATGTTCACTTGTGATTGTCTTTTAATTGAAAAGAACTTTGTAAACACGCCAACCGTAAATTAAATTAATGTTAATAGTATTGTAATACATGTATCGTAATGTAGTGTATGCATAATTAGTGTAAGTATAAGTATCAGTAGTGTAAGTAGCAAGTACAATGTAAGTGTAATTAATACTTTAAGTAGTGTAAGTGATCGTCTTGTAAATAAAATTGTTTAAAAAAAAAAAGAAAAAAAAAAAGGTTTATACCCATAAAGGGAAACTAGCTTTCATTAAAGGTGATGAAAAAAAAAATATGGGTAATCTAAATTTCAAGGATTTACGCTGTCAGCAATGAATCTTCCTTACTCTCGTTCCGCTAAAATGGGCCATTTCAATGCAGTTCCCCTCGGATCAATTCGTGAGTTGCCTGCGGAATCGTGCAAGGAGATCAAGGCGAGTGAAGGAGGAAAGGTGGTCAGCGGCAATAATTATTGGATGGATTCAACCAGATCTGGTAACTCTATTTTAGCTGGTTGTGACATGAAGACAGAAGGTTTGTACAAGACATACATGCATACACCCATACTACCTTATTGCATAGCTCCCCCTTGGGGGCTCTTCCGCCATACATGAATGTCAAAACGTCAGTGCCAAAACGATGTAAAGTGTGTGAACCATGAGATGAACTATACGTGTGTGTGTGTGTTACTCATCTGGTTGGACAGGAAAACATTGTAAAAAAGGTTTGCCTTTTGTTGAGAGGAAGCACGAATCCGTTGTAATCAATTCCTTTTCACAAAAAGAATGGTTTTACTCTCGATTAGTTTTCAAATGATTCAGCCTCGTGCTAAGTTATAATAATGTCAGAGGAACCTATGAAGCTTTTAAAACCCTTCACCCTATGAGATTCTTGCAGTTAAGTTACAATCGGAACGATAAGAATTAAAATTTCCGTTTAAATTTTTTTAACTTTGTAGCCGACCACTGTTATCATTATAAGAATCTAAGAGATGCAGATAGAAAGAGCAGTTACGTAACTCCTGAAAACCAAACACATTATTTGTGTAACGACATACTCGTTGAGGGATGGTATTGTTTTGTGGGAACTGCTGGAACTAAAATGCCAACCACAGGTGTGCCATCATTAA